TAGTAGTGATCAGAGTCTCATGAACTTTCCTGCCTGGCTTCAAATGGGGATCCTCAGATGTCAGTCTCCTGAGTAGCTGGGATTACAGGCATGAACTAACTGGGCCTTGCTACAAATAATGTAAATTAAAATTCCTAGTACAGTGAATTATTAATAAATCATTACGTAGTCTCCACATTCCGAAGCTATTTTATTTTAAAAATGGACATATTTTTTTAAATGGCAGTTTGTATATATGTTTTCAGTATGATAATTCAAATATTAATAGAGTGTATATATAATGATCAAATCTGGATAATTAGCATTTTTTATTACTTTGAGCATTTGTCTTTTTGTGTGTTAGGAAATGACTCTTCTAGTTATTTTGGAAGATGTCATGAATTATTGTAGGTAATAGTTACTTTATTATGCTGTAGAGTGCTAGAACTAATTTTACACACACACACACACACACACACACATTTGTTGAAACAGGATCTTGTTATTTAGCCCAGGCTGGTTTTGAACTCTCTTATGAAGGTTAGACTGGCCTCAATCCTATGATATTCTTGTCTCATCCTCAAAGTGAAAATCAGCAAGTCAACCTCTGTCTTTACAGAGCTTTAAAATAGCCCAGAAAAAAGGAAATCAAGCCTCAGACCTGGGAAGGGGAGGGAAGCAAAACCCAGCTGGGCTCTGGTGGCTCATGCCTGTAAGCCTAGCTACTCAGGAAGCAGAGAGCTGAGGATTATGGTTCAAAGCCAGCCTGAGCACAAAAGTCCATGGGACTCTTATTTCCAATAACCACCAGACAACCACCAGTGGCACTGTGGCTCAAAGTGGTAGAGTGCTGGTCTTGAATGAAAAAGCTCAGTACCAGCACCTAGTCCCTGAGTTCAAGCTTCAGGACTGACAACAAAACAAATACAAAACATTTTTGAATAACTTGTTGACAAATTGCTCTGAATATGTTCATACTTATATCAACATGTCATTATATTTGGATGGGATTCTAAAATTTTTTTTTTCTGAAAGCATTGAAGGCATTGTCATCAGATGCCCATCTGATTGCTATCATTGCCAATATCTAACTTTCCAATCTCTATTTACCAGTCTAGATCCCCTCCCCTTTATTTCTTGTGTTCTAACATTTTGTAAATACTGTTGTACATGTGAGTTATCAGTCATCTCCCTGAGTGCTAAGTGGACACTATCCAACTTTTCAGATGAAGAAATTTTTCTTCTGTTCCTTTGACTAATATTGTCTCTAGTCCTTCTAACAGACAGATAATGGACTTAGAGACTGAGGTTCTATATCTCTCAATTTTTGTCCTATGTTTTGCTTTTTTGTTGTTGTTGTCATTTGATATTCTAGGGATTTTTTTCTTTAACTTACATTCCTTTAAATAAAGCTCTTGCTTTGGCAATCTCGTTGTAAGTCTGTGTGTTCAAACACCTGAATTTGATTATTACTTTTAGAAATAACAACTTACTCTTGTGGAGCCCAACATTATTTCCAATGTCTCCAAGATTTTTTATTGGAATTATAAAATAGTTGATGTCAGCAGATGGCATAGGTATCCAGGACTGCTAACTACAGTCCAATACCTCCACAGTAGTCATTCACTTCCTTTCAGATCTTGAGTTCAGGCTGGAGCCAACACTAAATGTGTGTATTGTTTTATCTGGAATGTAGGCAGATGGGAGGGAAACAGACTCATAATTAGTTACCTTAAGTTGTCTCTCAGTCCTACCACTTTCAAGTGTTGAGGTTCCTCTGGAATTCTATGGGGAAGGACAATTTCTTTTTAGATTTACAGCCTTATCTTGCAAGTACCCTCACAGCTGCAGCCTCCTGTGCTCTGAGTTATTCATCAACTCAAAGCCTGAGGCTTTCCACCTGTCGGAAAGCCATCAAGCCTAGTTTGCTTGCTGGATGCTCCATTCCTCCTGTTCTCTATTTTTGTCTTAATCTCATTTTATACTTTTCCATGTCATTTCAGTGGGAACTGAAAAAAGAACGTCAGTAGAGGTAGGGACTCTGCCCACCACTTTGAGCTGGAACTTTCAGTTTTAAAACCTGCAACAAGTGTTTCTTGTCTCTCTAGGTATGCACAAGGGAAGGAGAATCACTGCTGGGGTATGATATGGCTTCCTCCCAAAGACTGCAAGCAGGTAGGAGCATTTCTTCTCAAAGAGTTTCTTTGCTTTTGTTCTGTTTTGAAATTCTGAGATTATGGTTTTCTTCTTTCTCTCATTTTTACCCTATTGTTACTGTTCTGGTGCCACACTACTAACTGGTTAGTAACTGATTACTAATAGAAATAATGGATTAATAGGTTATTCATAAAGAACCTATAAACTTAGAGGGTGTTTTAGGAGATACTTCTTTGAGCAATATTTATGATCTCTAGGGCATGTCTCATTCCTCTCTCTCCCTCCCCTCTTTCTCTCCTTCTCCCTCTCCCTACTTCCTGTTTTTGTTTGAAACAGGGTCTCACTATGTACCTTAGGTTGAAATTACAGATGTAATCTACCACACCTGACCTTTGAAATGTCTCTTGAACTAGCCTATCTAGTTATCGTACTTTGAATCTCTCCTCAGATAATTGAAAAATTCCAGTTAAAGTGAAAACTCTGAGAAAGACCTATAGATTTATTATCTTCATTGAAACACTGTTTAAATTCTTAATATCAATACTAATAATTTGCTTGATATATTGTTTTATTTTTATTATTATTATTTTTTGGGTCTGGTTGTGGGGCCTGAACTCTGGGCCTGGGCGCTGTCCCTCAGCTCTTCAGCTCAAGGCTAGTGCTCTACCACTTGAGCCACAGCGCCACTTCCGGCTTTTTTCTTTTTGCTTATGTGGTGCTGGGAATCGAACCCAGGGCCTCAGGCATGCAAGGCAAGGGCTTTGATATATTGTTATACTGAGATTTATTTCTCTCAGCTATCACTACCTGTTTGTGAATCATAACTCACTTTGCCGGGAGTGAGTTATTAACTTATAGTCAACAAATTTATCAACATTGATTGTTTAAGCAAACAGGCCAAGTTCCTCCCCTCTGTAGTTTTTAACATGTATAATGTTTATGCTAAAAGAAAATCACAGATTACAAAAAGATCGTACAATAGGACTCTACACAGTCATTTTATAGGAAGAACATTTATTTCACATTTTGAAGGTGAATTTTAATAACAATTCTGTTGTTGAAGTCACTTTTCTAGGGCTATTTCCAAAGCTTTAGTTGGGCTAGTCAAGACAAAACACATTCTCTGTGAAGAGATGATGCTTCAGAATGTTATAGGAGAGAAACACGTGAAAAAAGATGACTTGTTTGTTTAATTTCATTAGTTACAAATAATGAACTTTTGGGAAAGCCATGATTTTAGGTGTTCCTAATATTTCTATTAAGATGTGAAAGTGTTGGTGTCGGGAATAGGTATGACTATGGAGAGGTCCCAGGTGAGTCAGACATGTAATCATGACAGGTAAAATGGAGCATTCATCTGACTAGAGTAGGGATGTTCTGTTGGGGGAATAAAGACTAGTGACTAACAGGGATAGAAGGGATCACTTTTGACAAGTTTAGTATTATAAGGGGACTACAAATACTTAAGTCAAGAAATGAATCCCTGAAGACAAGTGTTTTAAAGTGGCTCTGCATAGTAAGTGTTCCAAATTCTTTTTTGGGGGGGAAAGGGGGAGTCCGGTCGTGGGGCCTGAACTCTGGGCCTGGGCGCTGTCCCTCAGCTCTTTCAGCTCAAGGCTAACGCACTACCACTTGAGCCATAGCACCATTTCCGGCTTTTTTTTCCTGCTTATGTGGTACTGAGGAATCGAACCCAGGGCCTCATGCATGCAAGGCAAGCACTCTGCCACTGAGCCACCTTCCCAGCCCCCAAATTCTTTAAAGTATTTTAAGTACCCCAAATTTGCAAACCCATCTTTTATGTGACTGAGTAGCAGTATAGAGCTAGTATCTAGATGAACGTAGTCACTGAATATAACTTTTGGTTCAGGCATTGTGACCAAAAATAGAAATAAAGAAAAACATTTTCTTAAACCATGTGTCTAGGTTCCAAAAAGAAAGAGAAGGCAGCTCTAGAAGATAGGATGAACAGATCCTACCCACTAGTGTTCCTCTCTCTGTCATGGAAAGACATGGAAAGAGGACATTTTGCTCCTCCATTTTTTCAGACTTCTGACAACCAGTGATTTGTCAGAGTCCTATAGTTAACTATTGCCCAGCCTGTTATATTAGTTAACAGGTGATTGACAACATGTGGTCTGCTCTTAGTCTCCATTTGTTGCTATTTAGAGATACTTTGTAGAGTTTCCCATCTTTAATGTTTATGAGCATATCTGAGAAGATTGATTCCTGGTTTGCTAGGCCACATATATGCTGACATCTTTTAAGTTTTTCTAGGCAACACACCACAGCTAGGGCACATCCTAGATTTCAGTCAAGGGCTGATTGTTTCAGAGTTCAAGAAAAACAACAATGTTAAACCTTTCCCCTCTGTATCTCAGTAGCTAATCTTCATTTACTTGTTTTTTGCTTTTCAGTTTATGTGTGTGTGCATGCTGCTCCTGGGGCTTACACTAAGGGTGGAGGTGCTGTTTTTAGCTTTGTGACCCCAGGCTAGTGCTCTACCACTTGAACTACAGCTCCACTTCTGGCTTATTGTTGGTTCATTGGAGATAAGACGGACTTTGTTTCCGGGGCTGGAATTGAACTGTTTCTCAGATCTCAGCCTCCTGAGTAGCTAGGTTTACAGGCACGAGCCACCAGTAAGGTCTTGGATGGCTTTTCAATTCAACCTTCCTTGATTATATCGGGTAGCATAAAGTTGGACTGAACCAATATGAGAAGTGTTATACTGTGGTCACTAAGTAAATAGCTTTGACCATTTGCTGAATCTTTAGCATGAATGGCTATGTAAAAGTGAGAAGATCCATATTGACTTGGTTCCACTGATTTTTAATTGAATATCTCACACATGATAAGCTCTGGACTTGGTATCAAACAAGTCCTCTAGAAAGTATTGATTGTTTTGATATTGCCTGGGATTAAGACCTGCTCATAGTTTCTCTTCCTTAGAGACAATGATTAAGATAAAGCTTGTAACTCCTTAGAGATGAATTCTTGTCCCATGGAACACTGCCTAAATAAGCACTGGGTCACCTGTGTGTTCATGTGTCAAGGGATTGGATTGTGGGCTAAAGAAACCAACTTTGTGTATAGTTGACTTACAAGTGGGAATAACAGAGGATCAATTTACAAAGCTGTTTGCTTATACTCTTCTGAGATTTGGCCATGATTATTTGGAGCGAGATGAGAGTTTTCAAGCAGTTCATAGTCATCTTGCATGTTGGGGAGATTCTGCCTCATGTCCTGGGTAACTTTTTGAAGCTGAATACTGGTGTTGTTCTTTGGAGAACCCCTCTGGCCCTGGTATGACTGAGCCTGGCGTTTACAGAAGCCAAACTTGCTGAGCAGGATGAACACATCCCTCTGGAAGGCCTTGGTAAAAATAGCATAGAGGAATGGATTGGCACAAGAATTGAGTGGATAGAAGAGTACCAGCAAGATCTTGGAGTTGGTAACAGTGATGAGTGGCTTGTTCATAAGTGCTGACAGGGCATAGAATGAGATTGGGGCCATGCACATGAAGTCAGTGAAGATCAACACTGCCATCCTCTTGGCAATTTTAGTGTCTTTGTCTCGAGGGTTGTACTGGGGATTTCGGACTGTAATATAAATCTTCACATAACAGAAACAGACAATGACAAAGGCAACAACATTAATCAACAGAACAAGGACAATATATGCCAGAGCAAGAGGAGTCTCGGTGTCCATGGGTAGGCAGATGCTGACCTTGGCATAACTACTTATTCCCACCAAAGGGAGCAAGGCAAGAAGGAAGCAGCAAACCCAACCCCCAATCATGATGGTGTATGCATGCCTGAGGCGGATCTTCCGATCCAGGCGCATAGCAAAGGTGATGGCATACCATCGCTCCAGGGTGATGACTGTCAAGGTGTATACTGACAGCTCGCTGGCAAAGACAGTGAAGAAACCGGCTGTATTGCACCCAGGGCCTGTCTGCCAGTCAATGGCATGGTTGTAGTATTCAGAGTGAGTGTAGAGATCCACAGAGGCAATAAGGAGCAGGTATATCCCCATACAGAAGTCCGCAAAGGCCAGATTGCACATAAGAAAGCGGGGGACAGTCAGTTTATAGTGGCTAGTGAGGAGAATGAACAGGACAAAGAAATTGCCTACGAGAGCCAGCAGACTAACAAACCACACTACAATCCTCAGGAACTTATAGCCCATGATGTCTTCACAGGGGTTGAATTCATCTGACTTGGGCGTACACACCATGTCTTCATTGTCCCCACACACAGTGTAGTCATAGTGGCTGTCAAAGGCTTGTAGAGTCTCTTCTTGAGGATTTTTGAGTTCTTGGCCAAAACCAATGATCTCATCTTCTTGCTCTTCAAAGAAGACATAGTAATGAGAGTTGCTGTGGCTATCTTGCAACTTGGAGTTCTGGTTATACCCAACATTGTTATTGCCAACATCTTCATATTCCTGATGGATGGGGCCATTCAAGGCATTCACAGATTTTCTCTGACGCAGGCTATGGATGCTGCTTTCATTACACATCAAGGACTCAATGATTCTGTAAGACAACAGGACCACTTCTTTAAAATCAACTAGTGATACTCACAACACTGGAAAAACATGTAAACTATTTACTATGACACACATAGTTTTACACCATACCATACACTCTAGTTGGAACTGCCTTTCCTGCATTGTTTTCCATTGCTTCCTTTCCCTTATGATCCAATGACCATATTTCTACATATGAACTCTTTTTTTTTTTTTTTCAGTTGTGGGGCTTGAACTCTGGGCCTGGGCATTATCCCTCAGCTCTTCAGCTCAATGGCTAGCACTCTACCACTTGAGCCACAGCGCCACTTTGGCCTTTTCTGCTTATGTGGGTGCTCAGGAATCGAACCCAGGGCCTCATGCATGGGAGGAAAGCACTCTACCACTGCGCTACCTTTCCAGCCCCTCAGTGACCATATTTCTTATCGATAGTTCTTGGAGCATTGGGAGTGCCACGTACGAGTTCATTGTCAATTATTACTCCTGTTCAAAGCATGGAAATTGTGTTCCTTTTGTCTGAAAACTCATAGCTGCTTCTACAGATTGCTCAGTTGTAAACCAAACACTCCTCTCTCAGAGAGACTTCCTTAAAAATTTAAATACCTTTATGTTTGGTATGTCTGACATTTTCTTCTTCTTTGTTTCTCTTCCCTTAGGCTGTAAACAACATGTAGATTGAGCTCTCGTCTCTCCTGATTACCATTGTGGAGAAGACAGTGCCAGGCACATAGAAGTATTCAACCAATATTTATTGGACAAATAAATAAATGGACACTACTGTCCAGGCATGCTCATGGGCATGAGATTTAGTTTATGTCTGGCTCACCAAACTTACAAATTCTGAGCAGATTTTGATTCATCTGTTGAACTCCTGTGAAACTATCTAGTGGGTTAGCTAGTTTTTCCAAGGAACCTGGACTTGATCCTGAGATTCACTCCACCTTCCCACCCATCCCTTTTCATTCCTACTCCGTGCCAGAGTACAGCATCTACTATTCTCATTGCAGAGCCCCTCCTCACTAGTTTTCTGTAGTTAGTACACCCATATTGGGTTTCTTTGCAGGGTATTTGAATTTGACTCTCACTGCCACTCATACAGTAAGATCCTTATGTTTCCTCTGACTGAAAAAGCTGAGTATAGAAATTTATGGCCTGCTATAAGACACAAAAGGGGAAATAACTAGATGAAAAGAGTCAGAGAAAGCATGGAAAGGAAAGAGGATTGTTTCTCTGATAAGCAGCTAGATACTAACATAACATATACCACAATTGATAGTTATTAGTACTCAACATTCCAGTCCATTCCAGTCTAGGTGTTTTCTGTTCAGTCTCTTATTTCTTCTTTTCAAAATCACTATGAGTGATGTATATCATTATGTTCTCCATTTCAAAAGCACAGAGCAGTTGAGTAACTAGACTGGAATAACAATCTGGACCTGGAAGGCTGAGTATAAGCCAAACTTACTCCAAGGCCTATACACATCTACCCAGTGAACTATGACATTTTCAGGGCCTAGACAGATCAGATAGCCCAATTGTGAGTGTTGTTCGTAAGCCTATCTTTATGGCTGTGGTGTTCGTGTTTCATGTGGAAGCCTGAAATCATATCCATGTAACCTCTACAAGATTTTACATGATATAACCATGCCTATCTCTACTTCATCATTGCTTGTCACCTCCCCTCTCCATTTCTCTCCAGTAACATTGGCATTTCTTCTCACCTACAACCACTTTGTGCCTCCAGTCATGTTGCTTGATGCATTTCCGGTTTTTGTAGACATTGTTAAGTCTTTTCTTCTGGTTTTCAAACTACAGAGATATACTTCCCAGATATATTCCCAGAAATCAGTTCATCTTCTACCATGACTTTAGTCACTTATTCAAGGCCCCTTTTACTTACCCTCTAATTTTCTTCTGATTCTTAAAAGCACAACAATGGCTTGGATAAGAAAGGTCAGCTCGTGTGAGGTGAAGGAAACTCAAGGAAAGTGGAAGTTTCTTAAGAGTCCAAGTGTTTCTTGCAATCAGTTCCTTCAAATGCTCCAGGCCTTTGGAAGGCAGGGCAGTGACGCTGGTGTGAGACACATCCCTGGGATGTAGAGAACAGAACACACAGAGAGGCTGTAAGCACCTAGGGCCTTTCAGTCCTTGGCCAGAAAAGCAAACAGATCTGAGATGAATGGGGACAGATCTGTTGCTTTTCTGCTGCTGAATATGTGAACTGAGTTCTTTATATTCAGCTACTGGTCTGAGGAAGGGACACTCAGTTTTTAGATCAATACCAATAAGTACCGGCTATTTTTTTGCTTGTAATGCCAGTATTTTATCAACACAAATACTATTTTCACATTATATTCTGTCTGCAAACTCTTGGAGTAACAGATGGATGTTAGTTTTACTTTGCAAAATGATACTGTACAACTGATAAAGGATCTCAAGAAGCCACGATAAATAAAATTGAACATGCTTACTGGCACTTGAATTGTCATCAGTCTCTCTGGGGACTAGTAGACTGGTATAACACCAATATTGTGAAAATAGTCTCCTAATTATTTCAGAACTTAAAGGCCTCAATTAGTGAATTCATGACTAAGAACAACTCTTATTTCCCCAGTTTAGAAGACTATAAGTGCATTTCTTTTTTTTATTGTCAAGATGATATACAGAGGGGTTACAGTTACATAAGTAAGGTAGTAAGTACATTTCTTGTCAAACTTGTTACCCCTTCCCTTATTTTTCTCCCACTTTCTCCTACCCCCATAAATGCATTTCTATAAAGAAAGCTCAAATCATTATCTGAAATGAGATTCAAGTTACTCCTACAAATTATGGGAGAGATAGTGTTAGGCCTGGGAATTGTGTACTCCTGTGAGGTATTAAAGTAGAATTAATTCATAATTTTTTATGAGTTGTTTACTTTTTTGTACATGTGTTTGACTTGACAAAAAATTCTTACTAAATATTAGTAATTATAAATATATAAATAAAATTATAATATAAATATATTAATGTATATAAATATAATATTAGTATTATATGGGTGAGGTCCTTAGTAAGCTTGACTTTAAAATTTTGAATTTCAAAATTAATTCATAACTTTTAACCAGGTATTATCTTTTCTTTTCTCAACTCCTGAGTCCAGATTGTCTGTCATGTTCCATAATTGTTTTACTTGCAGTGAATTATTAGCTTGAGTAAGATCATCACTTGATTTCTCCCCTTCTCCCAAGTCCTGGGGCTTGAACTCAGGGTCTGGGTACTGTCCTTGAGCCTTTTTGTTCAAGACTAACACTCTACTACTTAGAACCACAGCTCCACTTTTGGCTTTTGGCAGTAAATTGGAAATATGAGTCTCACCAACTTTCCTGACAGTTGTGAGCCTCAGATCTCAGCCTCCTGAGTTCCTAGAGTTGCAGGCATGAGCCATCAGGTGACCAGCTCATGAATACTTTTAAAGTAAGACTGTCCATTTTAGGATTTACCTCACCACCAAATCTGCCAGTTCCCAGCTGTTGAGTCACCTTAGCCTTCAGGACTTCATAGCTGAACCCCAGGTTCCACAGAGCAGAGGATCCTGCTTGAATCCATTATTTAAATTCTTGATCTATAAAAGCTACGCTAATAATAAGGTGTTTGTTTTATACCCCTTAGTTTTGGGATGTTTGGCAGTGCAGTAACTAGAATGACTACTCAAGAATAATGGTTACTTGAGAATTCTTAACATTGTAACAATGAGATGTACAAGACACTATGTTGAAAATGAACTTTACAACTTTGGTGGGGGGAAGGGAGGCGTTGGGGAGGAGGGGAAGGAAGGAAAGGTAAGAGAAAAACAAAAGAAACAGTGCTCGATAGGAAATGTACTCACTACCTTACTCATGTAACTATAACCCCTCTGGACAGTATCTTTACAATCAAAAATATATATTAAAAAAGAATTCTTGAGAATGATTTTATCAAGAATACCTATTAAAATGCAAACTCATTCCTTAAAGGAATAAGCTCAGGTGAACACACACATCAATATATGCAGTAGATAGCAAATCAGTGAAAGAACTAACAAATTATAAGGCAGAGGATATTGAGCCAACTTCTTCAAGGGAGTGGTGTGTCAAATAATTTAGTGCTTTACTTAAAAACTGCCAGTGTGTTCTAAGTTGTAGAGCTATCACTAAGGCAGATAGTTGATGTTGAGGAGTTTATCAGCTTTCTACTTGGAAAAAATCAGCATTTCTGGTCTAGGCACTACATTAGGCTAGCATGAGAATTACCTGTAATACAGACTAAGCCACATCCCACACCAGGAGTCTGCATCATTTAATATGCTCTCTGGGTGGCTCACAAGCTCATCTCACTTATTACAGTATTTTTTGTGGAGCAGGAAGTTACTAAAATTTAGACAAAGGTCAAAGAGACTCATCAGATCAAGAATGGAGCCATCAGAATAATTTGGATTTAGTCTTCTCAGCTTCATGTTCCAGGTGCTTTGGCCTTTATCTTCCTGTCTCTGGAGGCTTTGAACATAGATCTAAGTGCAGTAGTCTCTAGGGACTCATCAAAAATATGGGAGGGAGGGAAGGAGGGAGTTTGTGGTGTGAGTGTTTGTGATGAGCATACCCCAGGTGGCTTCTTGCTATGAGAGTGCTTGATGTAGGTATAGAGAAAATAGATGGTGGAGAATATATATATATATATATATATATATATATATATATGTAGTCACACAGATCTTATAGCAGAAACACCTATCAAATAATAATAGGCATTCATTAGGTTCAGATAAACTCCAATATGGAGTTTATCTGAATTTAAGTCAAAAGGATCCAAAAAATATAGCTCTAGTCCAGTCCTCAGCTGCTTATTTGACATTACCACCTGAGGTGCTCCCAACTAAATAGATCCATCTAAAACTTTGTAATTCTCTACTCCCACGCCAATCTGTTCCTTCTCTGTTCTTTTCCATCTGGTAACCGGCACTCCCATTCACTGAGTTGCTCAAACGAAAACCTTTGAAATAACTCTATGGTGTTGGACTTCTTTTCTAACTTTGGCCCATCAACATTTAATATAACAAAATCCTGTAGATTTAAACCCCTAAAAGAGCTGGGCGCCGGTGGCTCACACCTGTAATCCTGGTACTCAGGAGGCTGAGATCTGAGGATTGCAGTTCAAAGCCAGCCTGGGCAGGAACTTCCGCGAAACTATTATCTCCAATAAACTACTCAGAAAACAAGAAGTGATGCTGCGGCTTAAGTGGTAGAGAACTAGCCTTGAGCTGAGAGCTCAGGAACAGCACCTAGGTCCAGAGTTCAAGCCCCATGACTGACAAAAAATAAATAAACCCCAAAGAATCTCGGATCCATGTACAGTCACAACAACAAAAAAATGAGAGCCTATCCAATAGAGTAGTTGATCAAGTTAAGAGTAGGATATCAGGCTAGGCACCCATTGCTCACGCCTATAATCGTAGCTACTCAGGAGGTTGACATCTGAGGATCACTGTTCGAAGTCCGTGAGACTCTTATCTCCAATAAACTACTTAGATAAAACCAGAAGTGGCACTGTGGTTCAAGTGGTAGAGTGCTAGCCTTGAGCACAAAGAGGCTCAGGAACAATAGGTAGGCCCTGAGTTCAAGTCCAGGACCAGCAAACACACACAGACACAGACACAGACACAGACACACACACACACACACACACACAAACACATCTCCAAAACAGGATATCAGGGCTTGAAGATAAATCAGGCAGATGAATATAGAACCTTCTGATAAAGTTTAAAAAAGAAGAGCCAAGCATGATTGCCTAGTCTTGTAATCCTAACTGTCAGAGATATGCAGTTGGCTGGGCAAAAAATATTACTAAGACCCCATTTCAAACAAATGAACAATTAAGTGTGATTATATTATATTGAAAAGATTCTTTACATGAAGAGAAATAATCACTAGATTGAAGAAATAGCCTGCAGGAGAGAATCTTTGCCAACAGAGATATTAATATGTACTTATTCAACAGAGATATTAATATGTAAAAAAGTAAAAAAACTTAAACACAAAAGGAACAGAACCAATTAGTGAATGAGCAAATAAACAGTTTTCAAAAGAAAAACAAATGACCAATAAATACATGAAGAAATGGTCAACACTGGTGGGGCGGGGAGTAGTTGTGGAGGTGGGAGGGTAGGGATGATAGGGGAAAAACAAAGGAGGAAGCAACAATGTATTCATTACCTTGCTCATGTAACTGTAACCCCTCTGTACAGTATTTTTACAATAAAAAACGTACAAAAAAAAGAGAAATGGTCAACTCTTAGTCACAAAGGAAATGTAAATCAAAACAATGTTTGAGAGTCCATCTCACTCCAATCAGAATGGTAAACATCAAGAAAATAAGCCACAGTAAATGCTGTTGAGTGTGTAGAGAAAAGGACCCCTGAGATACTACAGGTGGTAATATAAACTAGTACAGCCACAACTGGAAATCAGTATGAGCATTCCTTAAAATATAAAAATAGAACTATCATATGATTTTGCTATGTAAGCCCAGGTGATATGCTAAGGAGTGCAAGTCAGAACAAAATAGAGATACTCTCATACTCATGTTTATAGCAGAACTATTTTTAATAGCCAAACCATAGAAACAACCCCGATATCTACCAACTGTCAAGTAACAAAAATGTTGCATAAAGGTATAAAGATCAAAATTATATCACATTCAAGAAAATGGGTGGAGCTGGAATTCATTATACTAAGAGACATAATAAGCCAGACTCAGACAACTGTTATTTGTGTTTTTTTCATATGTGGACTCTAGACCTAAACAATGAAATGAAAACGAAACAAAAACAACAAGGACGTGAATGTAAATGCAGTGGGAATCAGTGGGAGGAAAGAGGGCAGAAGCAAAGGGGGAGGGGGAGGTGTTAATATGGCTGAAGCACATTATACCCATATATGAAACAGAATAACAAAACACATTCAGATTTAAGTGGGGGCATAAGAAGATAACGGATAATAGAGTGGGTCAGTATAATCAAAATACAACGTACCCCATTGTACAAAAAAGCATAATTATACATAGCATTTACAT